CAAACCCGCTCGGCCTCGCCGGTTGGTCAGCCTGCTGCCCGTAGGCGCGCGCGCAGTCACCTTTTCTCCGCACCCCCCTCCTTCCTTTCCTTTCAGCGCTCCTGCGGACATGCGCAATAAGCTACGTTTGGCGAAAAGCGAGAACAGATTCGTTTGCGTAAGGGGGCGGAACTGCGCCGCTAATAAATCACGACTCCGGGAACGAGGAGCTCCAAAGCTGGAGCTAGAAAAGTGGTTTATTCGCATGCGTGTCAGTGACGTGAGGCGTCTGGCGGCATCCGGACCAATAGCTTGCTTGATCAATTAGGAGGGCAGGGAATAGAAGGTCGGAATGGGCATGCGTGAATCGTAGAGAGTTCGCGTTTTTTTTTTCATTTTACACTCGAGGGGTTGAGGATCGCGGTGTGGAACTTTTGAAGAATTGGCAAAAGGAGATTCACTTGCAGATTAATCTGTTCAGAATGTCTTGAGCAGAATCTTCTGTTTTATTTCTGATAGAGGATATCTATCATACGTATAGAAATCATGTTTCTAGTCCAAGATAATAATTTTTTATACTTCTGCTAACCCAGTGTTTCTCAACCTTGACAATTTTAAGGCATGTGGACTTCAACTCCCAGAATTCCACAGCCAGCAATGAAGTCCACGTGCCTTAAAATTGTCAAGGTTGAGAAACACTGTGCTAACAGATATGAATGAAAAGAAATACATGTAACCCCCTCGTAGTCCCACAGTTGTAACTTCAGAGTTTTTAATTCTGTGTAACTTTTGAAAACCTGTATTATGATTAGTATTGGTCCAATATGCCTAAAAATAAGCATGGATCATTCCACTTTACAGTTTGGCAAGTTTTTTCCAATTAACGAAGTCTAATTACCTGACAATGGGCATGCTGCAATGGTTGTAAGTGTGAAAAACTGCCATAAGTCACTTTTTTCAGTGCCATTGTAACTTTGAATGGTCACTAAATGAACTGTTGTGATTCGAGGACTACCTTTGTAGAGAATGTTGCTAAGCTGTTAGCGATGTGAACGTGACTGAAAATTACCCCGGCTACAGATTTTTCTTCTTCCACCTAGTACAAATAAATTTCTATTACTTAAATGTATTTTTCTTTTTGAAGGAAAGATTGGAAATTTTTTGAGGTATTTTCCTGTTCAGAATAAAGAGGCCCAGATTGTCTTTATATCATTCACTATCACTATTGCACTGTGCCTCTCTTGTGTCAGAGGGGAGTGTTCATATTTTCAGGGAATGGGGATCTGGGCCTCCCTGTTGCTGGTTAGAAAATAAATTCCAACTCTATTCAATCAGAGACATATAGGTAGTCCTTAGCTTACGACCATAATTGAGCCCAAAATTTCTGTTGCTAAGCAAGACAGTTATTAAGTGAGTTTTGCCCCATTTTACAACCTTTCTTGGCAGAGCTGTTAAGTGAATCACTGCAGTTTTTAAATGATTAACACGGTTGTTAAGTAAATCTGGCTTTCCTATTGACTTTGCTTGTCAGAAATTTGCAAAAGGACATTGTGAATTCAATTCTTGCACTTTAGAAAGCATAGTGCTACAAAATTGGTGCAGACTAGGCCAGTATGAAGCGAACTACTGTTGTAATACATGTTTTCAGAAAATTATTTTGTTCAATAATGCTGATTTTAAAGATGCAGCCACATTGGAGAGATACAGAAATGTGTAATGCAATTAATAAATTGCAAAGAATAAGAGGAAAGAAGAAATGTTATTCTATGAATTTCATATCCCTAATACTCTTTGAAGAATAAAGAAAAATGATAAGGGATTATTCCAGTTTTTTTTAGTACATGATTTTCACCATGGTGGGTCATGGTCAAAATAACCCATTTTATTAGTTTATTTGTGTCCATGTTAAAATTACTTTGTTTTTGCAAAATCTCTTAATATCTTTTTACCTGATAATTGAAAATATATTTGGGCTGCAAGACGGTCTCTTAAAGGAGGAATTAAGCATGTTAGAAGGCTTTTGAAACTTTTAAACAAATTGACCATTACACCAATTTGGAACTGGCAGATTGGAAATTGCCATACAGTATATTTTACATATAGATGCCATGGCTACTGGGCAGGAGAAGACTTGCTTCAAGAGCCAAAGAGAATACTTGCTTTACAGCTTTCGTTAGTAGAAAATTGAGTCATATGAAATAAAGTTACCAAGCCCATAAGTGTAATTTCAGACACTATGACGGAATAATTTCCTATTTAGTAACCATAAAATGATGACTGATAACCTACTTGCATAAATACATCATTTGAAAACTATAGCTGGCATCAGTAGACGTATTGCTCTACATCAGGCATGTCAAACTCACGATATCACGAGACGCATTGTGACTTTTTCCCCATTGCCGGCAATGGGGTGGGCACGGTTTCAGCGTGATGCATCCGGCCCATGGGGCGGGAGTTTGACTTGCCTGCTTTACATCTTGAGATTCTATAGTGATCAGGTAGAGCCAATGTATTTGAAGATGCTATTCTGAGATGAGGAAGCAGTAATGCAGAGAAAATTGCTGATATTCTCCAAAATTTGACAGATTCCTACAGAATGAAACAGATGGAAGTGACATCTGCAAACCACCTGTCCAAATTTAGCTGCACTGCTGGATCAGCAACCTCACACCACAACTTACCACTCTCAAAGAACTCAGTTGAAAGCTCAAATCAGACTCTAGGCACTTGAGAAGGAGATAAGACCACACAGAGAAAATATATAAATTTGTGCATGGATATACAGTAATTACTAGAGTGACACTACAGAAGAACCCCCTTGTTTTTTAATACTTGGAACCAGCCATTCTTATCATTCGGCACAAAACATCCCGGAATAAATGAAGTACAGTAATTCATCAACATGGTGTAACAATTTTAAAGTATAGATTGCATTACAGTACACCAACAAATTAGCCTTTCCCCAGTGAAAAGCATCAGTAAACTAATAAAAGGCAATAGGATGCTAAAATATCTTTATTCACAACTGAATTCAGGGGTAGCATTTTAGTATGTAACTTTAGTCTTCAGAATCACAAAAGCTTGCCGCATATAAATGGTGCATATTATTTTGAACAAGCTGGATGAATTTCTCTGGACATGTTAGTGTGCAGAGTACAACAGGAAGAAGACAAGAAAGGTTTCACCTAAACTTTTAAAAATAATTTTCATTGAAGTTTAAAATTACAACGATAACAAAAATAATATCAACTAAAAAAACATTAAAAAGACCAAAGGGAAAAAAAGGAGAAAAAAGAAAAAAATATGAGAGGAGTTTGGAGAGCCAATCCATTCACTGGCTCCTCTTTCCGTCACTGACATTGGCTCTGCTCTCTGCAGTGCTGTTTTCAGTCTGTCATTGCTTCCCCAGGGATCCCCAGAAAGACTTCACCTAATCTCAGTTCACTTAAGACTCTGAATTTATTTTATCTACCTGAATGAATGAGTGTTCGAGATAATCATATTAGTTGTAGGACTGAACAAGCATGATACAGAAAAAGAATCAGTATCAGAATCCATATGGTGTTCTGGACTACGTATATCAGGAGAATTCACTCCATCTTTGTATTTTGTAAGGGTCATCAAGATGAGAGGAATCTTGTTTATAGGAGACAGTTCCATACACCTCCATAGTGCCATTTGAATTAAAGGAAAGTATTGCTGTACCTTAAAAATCAATCTGGATTAAGGTTAGACCAATTTAATGATTATATTGTAGAAACTTTGTTCAAGAAACTTGAACCAAAGTTTAAGACGGCATTATAATTATTGCACTGCAATCACTTTTGATATCATTAAATTTCCTAGAAACTAAGGAAGAGAAATATTATTATATAAAAGTTTGCTGTTGAGGTGATGATATTTTAATAAGAGACTGTGACCATCTCCAAGTTAAAGTTGTTTATTTCTTGGATTTCAGTCCCACCTGGGTAGCTAAATAAAATTATCTTTATTTAACAGAGAAGAATAGTGAGTTTTATCTAATGAGAAGAGTATTAAACAGATCTAGGAAGAACAAGCATTTTGTCAAGAGTTGTTTTAAGATGCTGCTGAAGTTCAGTAAATAATAATTTACTGGATCAGCAGGGAATCCTCCTGAGTCATCTGATGATGAGAGGATTTTTGTTACTATTAAGAAAGAAGGGACAAAGGGGAGTATCTTGGCTACTTGAACACTATGAAATCTGTGTTGTTGTTGTTTTTGCATGTAAAACTTTCTCTTTGCACTAATAGTTAACTAATATAGTGCAAAGTCAAAATAACTTGCAAGATTGTAAGATCTCTTTTTGTAAATTCAATTTTTATGGGTCCTAGAAATCATTGTGTTACATAGACAGGAACACAAATACAATGCTACTCGTATTTTTGGAATTTATTGAAAGAATAGATTCAGATTTTAAAAAAATGATCTGTAATATAAAGAGAACTGGAATCACAAACTCTGCTCCAGCTTTCTCAGAATGATGGAGAATAACTTAATTTAAACTACAATTACAGTTTTTAAGAATTGGAACCTCAGTGCAAATAAAGTTTCTAATCCTATAAAATTTTCTAATTATGCCTGCAGAATGCAAATACATCCATTCTTCAAATATTCTCCATCAATATGGGGAGGTCAGTGACAGAGGGATTATTCAAAATGTACATCACTAACTACTTCCATGTTTACACATTTTGGATGGATGCCTACAGAATGAATATATTAGACAAAATCCATTTCAGAAAAAGAGGCTCACAGAAAAATACAAACCAAGTAGTTTCCAAGACCACAACTCTTTTATCTATTATATTGCTCATGAGCCAAAATCTATGAATCTTCTCAGATACATGTTTGAGAATTCTTTCCAATAAATGATAAAAAAAATTAGAACTGATTTTTTTTCCCCTTTCAAATGACTCAACTTCTTCTCTACTCACTTCTTATGCCTCTTTTTTGTTACCTCCATTCTGTACGGCAATTATTCCATTTAAAATTGTAATTTTATTTGTAAAAGAGCTATTGGGAATTTGGTGGAGCTTTTCCAGTCTGGACTCTACTTGAGATCCATGAAACGAATGTCCATGATGAGCAGGAAATTCTTTGGCAACGGGCGTGGTGCTGGTGAAAGCACTGTGAACACTTGGCGTTCCAGATCTACTCCAGTTACCACAATGAAACCAGCCACACTGGTCTCAGAGATGTTCTCATCAGTGCCATCTGCAGTGCTAACGCTTAATAGATGATGAACCATGTCACGGCCGGGTGTAACTGGGACTAGCTTGAGTTGATTGTCTTCCTGTGACATGCCCAAAGGCAGACATGAGTCAGGGATAGTGGGCGCTCCCACTTTATATATCTTAACATCAGAGAACTTGACATCAAAAGCATGTGGATAGAAGCACCCTCGGAAGCCATAGAAGTATTCACGTATGCGGTCATCACGGAACTCCCGCCGGAAATCTTTAGAGCGCTCTACCACTCCACCTGATTTGGGAAGTAGCACAGTTCGAACAAAGTGAGGCAGATCGCGTTTCAATTCATTGTAGAGGCGTTCTTGATCCAACACTACAACAACATCAACTTCAAAAGCAGAAGCAGCATGTACAAGTGCCTGATATCCAGATCCCTTTACCCAGCCACACGTATTGATGATACAGCCACTGATTGAAGCTCTGCGGTTCACTTCACAGCGCTGATTAAACACATCAGCCAAGCGAGATGTGATCTACACAAAAACAAGAAACAGAAGCATATAATTAACAGGAAACTACAAAACTCATGGGATAAAACACTTAGGACATGAAGTGAAGCTAATCCTTTTTGGAAGCCTGATCCCTTCAAAAGTTCATACCCGTGAGAGAGTTTTTTAAAAGTTATGAAACTGCCCTTAGGCAAAGACCATTTATTTGTCATCATAGCCCATCAGAGGCTAGTTTGGTTTCTTAAGCTCTCATGTCTTCTCCACAATATTTTAGCTAACTACTAAAACTCATGAGCTAAAATGCTTTCCTATTAAATTATAACCCTTTCCCTCTTCTTAACAGTTTTAAATAGTTGCTACCACAAAGATCCTGAAAACACCACTCATATTTCAAATCTCTAATCATTATGTAACCCACTCCTCAACCTGATAAATCTTGGATGTATCCTAATAAATATTGGATAAATCACTACTTTGCACCCTGATTCAGGGTCACCAAGCCTGCATTCCTAATCCTCTTTATCATGAGTATAGCAAGACTTAACCTACAATTATATTTGAATCAGGCTTCCAGGTAATCAGTTAAATAAATCAGGTTAACATAATAAAAGTAAATAAACATTGATTATAGATTAAGATGACTCCTTTTACCTGGCTGTATTCTTGATACAAGCTGTGTTTATAAAATACATTATATCATAAATCACAGCTAACAAACCACAACAACTACATTTCTATAGCAGACCTAAACAATTGTTTCTGGGTTTTTTTAATTACACTTGTACAAAACCCAGTTGTCAAAGTGTCAAAGGTAGTGGAGTGAGTTCTGCATATCTTTACAAAATCTTAATTAATAGTTATCTAAATAGCTTATACTCATTGGCTCCAAAATTCAAGAAAGAGAAATTCTACTCTTTCTTCCTCTATGAGTGAGTTTTGTATTGTAAACAACTCATCATGGTAATTTCTCTCTCATTACCTATTATGTTAGCCAGGCTATTGCTCTGGTAACAGCCAAGTACAGTCCAAATGGCATTCATAATTGGAGCAAAATGACTATAGTCATCTCCTGTTTATACATACCATTTAGTAATCAAGGGAATGAAGACATTTGATTTATAATTATTATACCTTTTCTCCATGTAAAGAAAACAGGAAAAGCTATTCCACAAAGGCCCAAAGAAACCAGACAATGGTGCAGTTAAAAATGATGCCTCAAATTTCTATCCCAAATTTCTATTCTGAGATCATTTATGGAGCTAAACTTTATGCAGCGATCCACCATGTCATAGCTTATTTCCTCACAGGATACTTACTTTGTTATAGAGCTTGATATTTGTGCCAGGTGTGGTAGACCCAAAATGATAAACCAGGGGGGCTTGAACAGAGAATCCTTCTTCAACATCTGCAGGTCGTTCAATATAGAGTGCTCCCATAGTGCCTGGGATTGAAATTGAGCCTTGGCCTACATCCAGTTCCACAAATGTGGGTCGGCGTCCAAGACGCACAGCATAATTCAATAGCAGGCGGCAGACCGTTGACTTGCCTACATCTGTGGGGCCCACCACCATCACCCGAGGTCCCCGCTCATCTTCACGCTCAGCCTGCCACCGCATTTGCTCCAGAGCTGTGTGAGTGTTGAGGTAGAGAAGCATGGGCGTATCTTTGGAGATATAAGCTACTTCAGTCCGACCAGTTAGTTGCACAGAACAACTATGCCAGGTAAATACAGCAACTTTAGCACCAGCATCAAAGGTGAATTTCTTGTTTCGTGTCAGCTCAGTTCCAAAGATTTCAGCCATGCCTGTCATAAGTTCTAGCTGGACAGTTTGTGAGGCCTCAACTTCAAAGCGGAGTTCAGTCTCTCTCTCCAGCTCAAACTTGGCAACCAGTTTCTTTTCATCTGCAGTCTCCTCTGCCATCTCGTTTTATTCACAAATTCTATGAGGACAAAGCATAATTTAACAAAATCATTTTTTAAAAAAATTGTTGTTGGATGCCAGACTTACTAAAAATTCTTTCAAAATCTCTTTTTATATGAAATAGTGAAAGAGAGTTTCTCCCCTAAATATGTTCTCCAAAAAGGTGAACAAATTTTAATTTCATATTTATGGTCTAACTAACTGTTCCTAAGTTGGATCTCTCTTTGTATGCTGGATTACAACTCTTAGTATCAGATACTAATGTTGTTGGTTGAAATCATGGGAACTTTAGTCCCGATATCCAAGAGAAGCCAATTTGGAAGGATTTGGGATAATTGAATATAGTTGAAAATACTCAATACTTTCCCAGAGAGACCAACCATTTTTTGGTAGCCATGATGTTGGCCTAAACCACTTTGCTTCATAATGCCAATTCCTTCTAATGTAATGACCATATGAACAAAAAGTCATTCCTTTCTTTTTATAGTACATAGTAAAATAGAGACTACGTACTGAAAGTGTGCATACATATTTGTTATTATTAACATTATTAAAAGAAACTCTCTAGAGACACTGTGGGCTTAAATTACAATTGGATAGTTGCTCTTTTCAATGTACAGCTCTAGTTTCCGAGGTTCCAGTTAAAGTTCTTGCTGATGACAAAAATACAAAAGTAGTTTCCTAGTGAGATCTTCCAGGATACAGTCTCTTTCACAACACTAGGATTTTCTTATGGTCCCCCATCTAAGTCATCATCAGGAGCGATCATGCTCGGCTTTTGAAAACTAGTTGGGGTTTGCCATGCAGCTAACAGTCAGATGAAAACTGCGTTGTAGTTAGTCACATTTTTATTGTTACAGAGTCATAAAAACTCATCGATGAAATCTTATCTATGTGATCGCTAGCATGTAACCAATCAATCATGAAAATCATTGAAAAATGTTAAGGTTTTATAATGTGAGCTGATAAAAGCTAAGAGACTCCTCTCCCAAAGGGATTTCAATCCCATCGTTTCATCAACTACCAAAGCAACACATGGAAAACAGCGAGACTAAGGCGGAGCCAAGAATGAAATGGTCCCAAGAAAGAAAGGAGCCGCCCGGTGGACGGAACAGCTGAAAAGTTGAGCCACCCCTATAGTAACGGAGTCAGAACCGTGAAGAAAGCAGGCAGAAATCCACGCACCGATTAAATCAAATCCACAGGGATCCAACCGCTCTAGTCTTGAATCGATTTGACAACGGAAGTGCCAGTAACTCCGGAAGTGAGGGAAGCATGACAGTTAGACAGCCGCGTGATATTCACTTGTTTCAAGGCAGCCTCCTCGCCCGGTGCCACAAGGGAAATGTAGTTTGTCGGTGTGTACGAAACAAAAGGCGAGTGAGGAAATCCTGTTCGCCTCCTTCTGGGAAACGTAGTTTTATGTCAAACGATTCGGACGACTGTCAACCTGTTTCTTTCCTTTTGTCAACGCCACGAAGAGCGCTTCAGATATCTCTTCCTTAGATACTTTAATATAATGATGAACTAAGAAAATGCTTATCTCACCATACGAGAAGTGCCGCGATTGGTGGATTATCGAGTCAAACTGTGACATTTCTAGGAAAGGGAGAATGTTTTCTAACTCCACATTTCTATATACAATAGCTTCTCCAGCTTAGTAAACATTACTTGGTGGTTTGATCCTTGCAAAAAGCATACTTATTTCTCTGTATTGCTACCCTGCGACTAGCTATGTTTTTGAAGGGAGGAGTGCTGAATTTTCAAGTTCTCAGTACTAAAAGTGACTCTACCTGCTGCTTTGTATTCTAGGGAGAAGTAGTAGAAAAAATACGCAATTCCCCGTTTTTAGTCTGTTGCAGTTCTCCTCCACAGCAGAACCTTTTAGAGGTGAGCTTAGTGTCAACAGCAGCACAGAGGATGTAAGATGCCACAAGGATACTACTTACAGCAAAATCTGATGTTCACTCATGATGATGGTGCTGCTATTTGTTCAGTCATGTCTGATTCTCAGTGATTCTAGGGACCAGTTGTCTCAACTTTTTCTTATCTTGCATGGCTTTTTTCAGTTGTTTTATGCTCTGGCTGGTGTGAACTTTGATAGCGACTGTGTTTTTTGGTGGCCTCATTTCCTCACTGCTGACCATTCTCAGCATAATTGCCTCTTCCAGTGAGTTTGATTGCATGACATGACTAAAATAAGTAAGGCAGAATTTTGGGGTTTTTACCTTCCAGCGATATGACTAGTTTTATACGCTACAATGCATTCATTGCCTTGATCAATCTGCAACCCTAAAAAAGTGAATTCTTGCATGCATCTGATCTCTTCACTGCCAACTGTTATTTTGATATTTCCATTCCTCACAGTAATCATGAGCTTGGTGTTTTTGATGTTCAGAAAGAGGTCAAATTTCTTGCTCGCATCTTTAATCCTTTTAATCAGATGTTTCTGGCCTTCTTTGGTTTCTTTTTTTAATTATTTTTTTAAAGTTTTTTCAGGGTAGGGAAAAGCGAGGGTCATTATGAGAGGTGGGGTTCAAGGGAGGATTTAGGTGGGAATGGGTACAGCAATGGGGTTGCCCCCAATAACATTTCACGCTTTAGCAAGCAAACTATCATCCGGATACAAGTATTCCACAGGGCTAATATAATGATCAGTAACTGTAGTCAACATGGCCTTCTTTGGTTTCTGAGAGGAGAATTGTGTCATCAGAATATCAAAGATTGTTGAGCTTCCTTCCTCCAATCTTAACTCCGAGTTTTGATTATTCAAGTTCTAGTTTTCTATGATTACTTCAGCATAGAAGTTGAATAAAAAAGGTGAAAACATGTAATCTTGCCACACTTTTTTTATATATTGAACCAATTAGTGTCATCATGTGATGTTTGCACAGTGACTTCCTGATTTGTGTATAAGGACTACACTAATTGATCAGATATGTTGGTACCCTTAGTTCTTCTAGGGCCCTCCATATCTTGTCATGATCAACACAATCAAAGCTCTTGTTGTAGTCCATAAAGCAGATGTAGATGTTCTTTTGATATTCCTGAGAATCTTGCTAGTATGAAGGATGAGGACAATTGTGCAGTAATTGGAGAAATCCTTGCAATCATCCTTTTTTGGCAGTAAATTAACACTGATTTTAATCTTTTGGCTATGTGTTCATTTCCCAAATTTTCTGGCACAAGGCTGTGATGGTTCTGCTATTCTGCATGAATGGTAACATCTAGGACCTTGTCAACATGGCTTCTTCCTGAAGGATGACTGACTCTATTTCTGCTTCCCTTTCCTCATCATCCTGAGGAACTGGGCCTCTGTTGTTGGCAGATAGCCCTTCTGTATATTCTTGTCATCTGCCCTTGATACCTTGTTGGTTAGGCAGTTCTTTCCCTTAATTGTGATGATGCTTTTATGAACAGTGAATGGTGTTGGAATCCTTTTGAATTGTGCAAATGCATCCCTGCATTTCACTCAAAAGTAAGTCATATTGAGTATAATGGGGATTACAAATCAGCGAGCATAAGATTGCAGTTTTATGTCATACTCTTTTTCATATAATCATGGCACCGGTACATTGGTAAAATAGAGCTTGACTGTTACTTTTATCTTGGCCTAATGTGAATTAGATAAGTTTAAACTCTCATTTAGTGACCACAATTGGAATCAGCAACTTGGTTGTTAACCAAAGCACCACTAAGTGAAACCACAACTGTGTTCATGAACTTATTTCTGTTTTCCTTTGCTTTCCAGATAAATTTGAGGACTGCTCATAAAATTACTTTTTCATCACAGTCGTAACTGAAAATGGTCACTGCATGAATAAATCACTAAATGAGGACTACCTGTAATAGACCTATAATGGAAATTGACAATAGGGACTGCAAAGTTCCTATTGAGTGAATGTAAGGGAAGGGAAAACTACTAGTCTAGAACTGGGAATATGGACTATAGAATATTTTTTCAAAATTTATTAATATAATTTTTGAAGGCTATTTTGCTTCCAAATTTCGCTGGAACTTCCCTGTTGGATTAAAGCAAATGCTCACAGTTGTGTTCATTCCATCCTTCCATTAGCCACCCAAATGTTTCTGGGCAATGTGTTAGTGCTCTTTAATTCATGTTGGCTAGTCATTAATATTCCTGTAATACTAGTCATGACTGGTAGCCAGTGATAATCTTATCCCTCACAAATTTGCCTAGTTTCATTTTAATGCCATCAAATTGAGCATCATTACTTCTTAAAATTGCAATTTCTATCTTATCTAATGTATATGTTCAAATCCTTCTCTTTAACTAATCCCTTCCATCATTCATTGTCACCAGTTTTAGTCCTCCTCATTTATCTTCTTTATTCCATGTATTCATTTTAATAAAGTTGCAGTTCACAAAAGTTACTTGTTACTCTATCAGATTCCTTCTGATGTTTAGTTTTTCATGTATTTCCCCCTGCCTTTCTTTTTATCTACTATATATAATAATATATTATGTCTTATATATTTTATACTTATCCTCATTTTAGATTGAAAACCCCAAATATAATTTCTCCTCTCAGGAAAACTGTTCCTAGAGTTTTGTACTTGTCTTATTCTGCACCTTTTCCAACTCTGAATCATTTTTTTTAAAGTGTGATGACCAGAACTGTAAACTATAGTCGTGAGTGGTTGCAGTCATTCATATGTATAAAGATATTTCTATTGTATTCTTTTGTTAATGATACCTGACAATAGAGTAGACAGCCTTTGTGCAAGGTAAAGACTGCTTTGACTGTAAGCTAAGTTGAAATAGATTAAAGAGGTTGTAGAGTTAAAAAAATATTTGGGGATAAAGAAACAAAGTATAACACAATACAAGAGATTTATTCAAATTTAGATACTGCCATCTCAATCACTCCTTTGTTATAGCCCTATTATATCCAGCAAAAATGATACATCTTTGATACATTTGCCAGTGTCAGAGATAGTTCTTGTGGTCATGAAGGGAGGATGGAAAGTTAACAGCTTCCAGATGTTTCTATGTCCAGCATGACTAATGAAAGCCCTGAAGAAAATTTAACCAATTTGGAATGGCAGTCCAAATATTGGGCTTGTGATTGTAATAACAATGTATTCCCAAAAGAACAATTTCCACTATTCTATTGTTTTCTAAATGTGAATTACTAATTAGAAGTGAAAGTAGCATGATGCATACTAGTCATGTTCTAAAATGCAATAACAGTCCAATAAAGGTACTACAGAGGTTCCAAAGGCACATTTCCTTCCAGTCTTAAAATCAGGACAGATTGAGTTTTTTGCAATTTAGTGAATTATAGAGTAATCTTAGAACATTATCTAGCATAGCAATTTAGGACTAGGCTTACCGGTACTTACATGAGTTTCAACCTGTGGCCATCAAGGTTTCTAATAAATTTGTATTGGTTCCAAGATGGGCTGTCATGGGTTTCAGTGCCAGACATAATGATAACCTCTCAAGACAAGCAAATGCAGGCAATTGATCAGGACTCACAAGCAATGCAAATGGCAAATAGACTTGCTGATTGTAGAAGCCCTTACAACAATCATGGCTGCCAAACCTATCCCGAAGACCCGTGCTACCAGTATTCTAGAACCTGCATATATTTAAGCTAACAGGAGATGATCAATTATATCATTTCCTGGGGAAAGTATGGCTCTCTTTAGTATTTTGTGTCTCAGTAATGTAATCAATGCTTGCATGGAGGCACGTTTGGGTTGGGTTTTTTTTTGGTATATATTTGTTGATAAGTGAAGGAAGGTTTATTAATCTTTGTAATGGGATCGAGTTTTTCTTCCTGCCGTTTAGAAACATCCTGTACTAAACGGTTGCAATTCAGTGCCTATAGATATCAACACCTAAACCCCCGTGTGGTTTATGGTACCCAAATCATCTACCAAGCAATTATTTACTTTTGAACTCCAAGCCCACATCTGGAAATAGGTCTTCCTTTGGGATATCATAACCCTGCGGACCTAGCCATGAGGGGATGTCAGTTTGGAGGACAAGAGAGGAGGATTGAGCAATGGCGAGGCTGGCAGGAATTGGAAGCCGAGAAGTAACAAATTGTGGGGCTCCGGGCTTTCACATGCTGGAGGAGGAGGCAGCGAGGGTCCCGGATCCATTTCCTGAAGCACTGGACATGTTGGGATCGAGGGCTTGTCTGGACAGAGCACCTCGAAAAGCGAGATTGCAGCTTTCCAGACGGCGGTGACCCTTACGCTGCGTCTCTCTCTCCCTGCGTCAGAGTTTGCCCCAGGCAGCAAATGGAGGGGAGCGCGATCCCTGCGCGCCTTTCTCCCAGCTAGGGCTCCGGTCCGCCCCTCTTCTCTCAGCTACCCCCTTTCCCCCCCGGCCGCCTTTCTGCCCCAGAGTGCTGCGTGTGGCCTGCCGGGGCATCCTCTCCACTCCGCGTCCCTATCGGGGTGACTCCATCTCGTCCCCCTCCTTCCTTGATCCGTGTCTCCGACCCCGCTCTGACGTAGCGGGAGACTGAAAGGGGAGGGGGGGGGAGAGGAGGAGGAAGAGGAGGAGGGATGGATGACTCACAATGTTATGATGCGGTTCCACAACACCCCGCCACATTCGGCTACAGACGGTGCACAAAAACAGCCCTCGGGCGGCTCTGAAGCTGCCGTCCCCTTGCTGCGACCCCGCGCGGAGCCACAGCCGGACCAGGCAGGGACGGAGAGAGTCCCCCGGGAAGCAGGTTTCAAGGTGAGCAGCGGAGAGGGCAGAGCAGGCGTCGCCGCCGCCGCCGCCGAAACTTTCCCTCCCTTCCCCGGCCGTCCCTTAGCCCGGCCTAAGAGCCGTCTTTCCACCGGGCAGCGAAAAAAAGCCGCCGCCCGGTCCGCCCTTCCATCCTCTCACCGAGATCCTCCGCCAGGAGCGAGTCCCGCGGGGAACTTCCCCACGCCGCCTTTATTTTCTTTCCGCGCAGGCAGCCACGTGAGTCAGACTCTGCGGTGATTAACGCGGTCGGTCTTCGGGCTCCTCCCACTTTCACTTATTTTTCTCGGCCCCCCCCCCCTCCTCCTCGTTTCTTTCTCTCCCCCCCCTTCCCCCCTCCCTTCGTTCGTTGCTCCTTCCAAGAGAGGAGGAAGCGGACGGGAAACGGGGGGCGGGGGAGAAAGCTAAGCGACGCAATACAAGTTGCACCCGGGCGTAGCAAGACGATTTTTTATTTTTTTTTACTGCATTAATCGAAAGCCGAGCGGTTAGGAAGCCGGAGTCGCTGGCAGGCTCGACCCTTCCCACGTGTGATTCGCTGCGGGACGGAACGAGGTTTGCGAATCGCGAGGGGACAAACGCGCAGACGTGGGGCGCCTGGAAAGTCAGCTGCTGAGGTGTAATGCCTGTTTCTTACCGGCAGGGAGCGAGCTCACGGGGGTGGAAGCTGTCAGAACTGGGGAGTAGGCGACTTTGAATGAACGTGCATGGTGGGCCCTGTTATTGAGTCCCTGGAAGACGACTTTCACAAGCACGGATGATTGGGGAGAGCGGTGGGGGGGGGGGGAGGGAGAGACATTTAATAAGTAGGAATGCGTTGGGAAAAGATACATTATCGGTAGCTATTGCTAGCAGCTACTCAGGAGACCTTTAAGAAGGAGGTCTGTGCATTACAGTAATTAAACTGTAATGCAGTTAAAGGCTGGGTTGTCATGCTAGAAATAATATAATGAAACTCAGTGACAGCTTGATAGCTTTTGGCAGGTCATATTTTTTTTGTATGACAAGGACTTCTTCAAATTATACGGCTGTCCATCTCAACATCATGACTGATATTGATGATACTGGGTTACTGACATCATGTCTGACAGCATGAGTGTTACTGTCTTAAAGGACAAAATAAACAAAAACTGTTTCTAAATCAGCTGGGCAATTAAGACGAAAAGAGTAATACTTTTAATTCAGGTAAGCGATCTGGCTCAACCCAAATCTGCAGTATTAAGCATACTTAAGAAAGTGAGTTATAGAAGTTTCGGAAGTATGTAAAAAAAAAAAGCATACTGTATTGTTTTTACAGTCCTTGACAGGGAAGTAATTCATCATTATTATGGCAGTTGAGCATCTATTGTAAGGTTCTTGGGCCAGGGAAAAACAAAATCTAAACTTCTGTAGTTTTCTTCATCTTGAAAGAATTCCTGAAACTGGTGTGTAGAACAATAATGTGACTCGAGGATCTCTATCGGGCCAGCTGAAATCACTTGACAAGAGTTTTGTTTGGTGCACCCTCAACTTTAATGCTCGTTTTGAACATGCATGACAAGGCCCATTCTTTCCTTCCGTTTCCCAGCCTCCCAATGGTGCAAGGTGGTTTGCATTGCTCCTCTGCTTATTCCTTCCCCTTTTCTCTCACTAGGTGTCTCCCCTTTCGGTCTGGTTCTCATCTGGGGGGGCCCTGGCAGCGCAGCCCCCCCAAACTTCACTTTTTTGAAAAACGGCTTTAGCCAACCTGCTTCGCTGCTTCACTTGTGATCGCTTATGTGGGGGCTGCACAGCGCCAGCTCCCCCACCTCGACAAGGCATCGCTCTCCAGCCTGTCATGCCCAGCTGTGAGCCAGTGCCACCAGCCGCCTGTCTCCCTACCAAAACATTCCGCAGTTACCTGCCCCGGTGCCACCGGACTTACAGCTGTGTCCACTGCAGGGCACACTTGGCCAAACATGATGAGCTCATCTCCAAGGTATGCCTGCGCTCAGGATCACAGTGACAAGCTTAGTTATACCTACACCTATCATTTATCTCTGGCCCAACCAGACTCTGGCATTGTGCTTCCTCACAGCATTGCCTGTTTGAGGTTACCTAGCTACAGCTCCTGGGATTCCCAGCAATATCAGTCTGTCTAGGAACAGTTTGATCTTTCTTACAATTTGGGATCCCTACTGAGTGGTTGGGTTTGGGAAGGGGATTCAATAATCTTATAATGGAGAGGACATAACTTTTATACTTTATTTCCACAGTCCTTCCAGGGGAGTCATGGTCGCGCCTATCTTTTCAATTCTGTGTGAGTGTCCTCCTGCAATTGGTTTTATTTGTTGGGAATGGGATACAGGTGAGGAGCATGCAACAGTGGAAGCAGGCAAACATACGGTTTTTGCCTTGGAATGGAAGAAAATAGTTTTCTTGCAAAAGAGGAGAATATTTAAGTATTATGAGATCTCTCTCTCTATATATATAAAGTAAAGCTATTGGAGTGAGATGTAGAATTCAGTATTCCTCCAAATAACCTGTATACGACATATATATCTGTCATATCTCACTCAGTATCCTCTGCATCATAACGTTCTTACAGTTGCAGCTCATCTGCCTCCAAGGTTAATTTGATTGAATTCTAAAATAGAAATAGGGAATAAAACACATAATAAATAGGCTTCCCAGCACATGTGCAATACATTGGGACATTTCTGTCCTACTTTTTGCTTTTGATGTGTTATCATTGCCATCATTTAACTTGGCAATGGGCCTCCAGCATCATGGCATTTATTAGGTTTTATAAATGGAACCCAACCTATTGCATTGTATCACTGAAATTCTCTTAGCTCCACCCCCAAAGGAGGATACATTCTTGGAATTAAAAGATGGTCTACTGCTTCTAATTATTGGAGAGGACATCTTTCCCTTTCAGTTCCTAGAAAGTGGTATCTTTCTTAACAATTTCTTTTTTCTCACATTAAACTCCCAAATGTTCATTCCCCTGTTCTTTAAAAGAATCAAATTAATTCCAAATTCACATAGGTTGATAACATGATTACTAAATTTCCATTATACAGAGATTTGAAAATTGCGGATCATCCTCCTGATTTATAATACCAATTTTTGTAATGTATACCAGGGGTCTCGAAACTTGGCAACTTTCAAGAATTGTGGACTTCCAGCTCCAAGAATTCCCTACCAGCATGGCTGGCTGAGGAATTCTGGGAACTGAAGTCCACAAATCTTAAACTTGCCAAGTTTGAAGACCCTGATGTATACAAGTAGAGCTTACAGTGCAGGTGGTTTTGACAAATGTATCATTTTCATTCTCTTTATTTCTAATTGGCCTTCAGCAGAAGAAAGCTCAACTACAAGTCAGTGAGACTGAGTCAGAGATGTAATATACCTCTGACGTGGATAGTGATCCCAGCCAAGCAAATTGTTCTGGAGCAGAATCCTTTGGCTCCAGAAATAACCACTCTTCTTGAAGTGAATGGAATATAGAGATTGACTATAGCAAAAGATCTGTTTGACCAGCTCTGTTGGAAATTACGAACTACCTCTATATTCTTGTTTGGCAGTCCTGATGAATTTTCTGCATTAGTTATTTAAAAGCTGACTAGTAAGTAAGTGATATTCCTCCTGTGGTAATTCTTATCTGCTTTTGCCTTTAAATGTGATAATGTGAAATAAATCTAAATAGAGTACTATTTCTTCCTGGTTGATTTTCAAATAGTTGCATTGCAGAATCTCCATCCTTATTACATAGCTCTGCATAACAGTAATTAGAAATAAAATTATGATAACCTTTCACCTCAGGAAGGGGAGATTGGTAATGCAGTAAAATCCAAATAACTGAGGTAAGATCAAATTAAACTGTCGATAACAATATCTAACTTCTTTTTCTTTCTACCACAATGTCCTGACTCCATTTTACAGGAGAATTTAACTATCTCCTGATATGTATTAATTTAAAATAATCAAACCATTTGATGTGTTTAAATAGGCATGCATTAAAATGTGAGCAACATTTTCATGTAGTTATTTTTGTTTCTAGCCAAATTCACAAAAGAAAGTTAGGAAAAATGAAAATGCACAAAATTAGCTATTCCCTTGTTTCAGTAGATTAAATAGAATTATCCAAATTGTCTCTGTCTAGACGTTTGCAATCAATAGAGTACTATTGATGTGCCCCAATTTTTAATATTCTGAGCACAACGTACTGCCTGTAGACCCTTCTTTCTGCCACTGGAGGCCGCTCTGAGATTAAATTTAGAATCCATTTTCTATTTCTTGTTTTCTATTTCTATTTCTTTAGAATCCATTTCTATTTTCAGATTTCCTGGCAAATGTTTTATCTTTTCTTTATAAAGTGTAAATTACATAATTATTGTAAAATGCCCACATTTTAAAAATCTATTCAGTACATTGTCATCTGGAAACTGAAACTACTAAGCTATTATAGGCAAGTAAGTAAATCATAGTCCAGCTAATATATCTTCATAAAAGAGTTACTTGTGTTTTAAAAAACTTTCTCCTATATGATCACTTCAGATATCATAGCACAGGGATATTCCTCATCCTAGTTTTTTGCAAGCTACTGGCAGGACAGAATTGGGGCCATATTCATGGTAAAGACAAAATGAGATGCTGACTTTTAATTTGATTACAGGGTTAATGTGGGCTGTGGTCCAGCAGAGCAACGTCTTCTGCTCACCGGTCTCCATTCAGTTGCTGATATATTTTGTGAAAGCTGCAAGACTACACTGGGCTGGAAATATGTGAGTAAATTCCCTTCAGAAATGTAATTCTAGTAATCAAGTTTTTTTGGAAAGCACACAAAACCAAGGAGATACAGGATAGCAATCCTTAAAGGAGAATATTTGTAACTCGGGATTGAAATGAGGGATCCTTGGTGCGCTTTGTACCTGGTTATTTTCTTGCAGACATTTCATTACCCAAACTAACATCATCAGCACTATCAAAGCAATTCTTGTGATGGTATCCAGTTGGGAAGACTAGTGCAAAATACTAGCTTTTGTATGGCCTCTCTCAAAGCCATGGTGTTTGTGCATTTATGAATGCCAGTTGCTGCTTGTCACACGGTCCCAACGGAAGTACGATTCTTAGCGCTTTGCTGTCTTTCACCTACCATTTCATCTTATGATAACAAAGTTGTATCTTTGTTGTGGTTTTAGAGAGGGAGAAGCCTAGTCTAACGTAGGTAGGCTTATATCTAATAGGAGAGAATATTTGTATGCTGAGCTCGGTGTTTGTTTGCAGTCCTTTCATTACCCAACTAGTAAACATCAGCTTTTAGTGCTGGGTTTGTATCTCCTTGTATTTCCTTCTTTGCCAGGAACAAGCCTTCGAGACCAGCCAGAAGTACAAAGAAGGGAAGTACATCATTGAGATGTCACATATGGTGAAGGACAATGGCTGGGACTGAGAAAGAAGACTGGGTTCATACCCTCCTGCGTAGCATGCCGTGCTCTTTCGTAACCCCATTGCCACAAGTGGCACCCCAGCACAACCAACCCAGCTACCCTTCTATCAATCTCCTGCACAGCATCATCCAGGGGAATGGAGCTTCCAGGATCTTTCTCCCAAAGCCTCTTTCTGAAATGCTGGACTCACTGTTTGGAGGACCCTACCTGTCCCCTAGAGCAGAAGAGGAAAACATGCAGGCGGTAGAGAGTGGGAGATTTTGGATTGGTTTCTCCTTGGCCTGTGTAGGTTATTATGTTACATCCCGTTAGCACTTGTCAGCATAACACTGTGGCATCCAGAACGGAGAACCTGGAATCAGGTTTGAACTATGCAGTCCATTGTGTAAGAAAAACAAAATACTTAATGCAATGTGACAGCAAGGGCTCTGACATAGGGTATGGTTTGGGGGAGGGTCAATAGATCAGTTTGACGCTTAAAAGCTGAAGAGAGATCGTCTCCAGTATCTCTAGCGTAAATAAAGAAGGGCTGTGACAGAACTTCAACTATGGCCCTGAATAGCTGTGGGCAGATAATGTTGACAGCATTGAGCTGGGTAGTGATTCAATGAATTATTGTTCTTCTCATTTCTGAGGAGAAATTAAGAGTTGTACATCAGCCTGCTGATATTGGGCACTGAAGGTTGGATGGTGTAGATCACACGGGGAGATAAAAGATATCCTGAAGGTAGGGGACAGAGGAACAGTCTCTCCAAATGGCAGTTATCAGTCCCTTTCCCAGACACTGCAATGGTATTTCCCCCAGGTTTATTCTATGGAGTCCATTAATTTAGGTGTGAACCACCGTGTGCTTGTAATCCCTGAGCACTATAACCCCTCCCCTCAACTCCCCTACCATACATGAAGGTGTGTCTATGTGGGGGAAACAACACTTCAGCACTGTCACCAGCGCAGGCATTTTTTTGTATAATAAAATTGTTTTATATTTTAAAACAAGCAATCCATACTATCAATAGCTTCTGTCATCCTGCTTCCTTTGCAGATTTAGTACCAAGCCAGAAGTTCTGTTGACGGGAAATTAGCTTTCTGCTGGTTAAAGTTTTCAACAGGCACGGAATCCAGAAGTATTATCTGACTACATAAATTTGAAATCTTCATACCAAATAATCAAAAAAACAACAACCCCAAACCAGTAGGTTTATCCCCACAGACAAAACTGCACACTCAAAATTATCATAATGTGTTTAGCCATCTTCTAGAGCACAAAAGATAACCCAATATATATCAGCAACCAACATTTGATGATAGGTTGCTATATTATCTCAAAAAGACAACATAAAAATGACCAATATTTCAGCTGCTGCTCGAATACCAAATCATGTTGGTATAAAATTTATCCAAAACCCAGCAACTGAAATTGAAAACTCTGAAAGGAGTGAATAGATAGCTCTTGTCATAGAAACCACTGTTCTAGCAGGACAAAATGGGGATTTCCCCCCCCTTCCATTATGTCTCGTGTAACAAGTTTCCATGCCTGGCCTTTCATCTTTACCATCGGTTGAGGTATAAAGAATTCATGCTGCTGTGACCACCAACCCAATGCCCTTTTTACATTGCACTGCTTGGTTGGGCTCAGTAGCACAATGTGAAAAGAGCCTCGGGCAGGGGCCGTGGCCAGTGCATCCGAAGGCCCTTTGCTTTGTCCACAGGAACAAGAGAGTTACCTTCTCAGAATCTCACTGAAGGGTGAAAAGGATCACACAAGAACTGTGATTTATTTTATCAATGCACTTTCTTTAGTATGAGTTTCTATAGAATACTGGGCTGCTGCACGGCATATATTAATCAAACCATTCTCTTTAGTCTTCATCCAGCAGGAGTAGTATCCAGTTTTTATGTTTCAAGTAGAGTGTTCAGGAATTCGACCTAAAAAGGGGAGGGTAAAATAAAGGGAAATAACTTGCATCCACCATCAATACTTCTTTCTTACTACATCACAGTTGCAATCCTAAAGCAGTGTAGGAGTTAATTTAATTGATTCTGCCTTGGAACAGCATTACACAAAATAACTAGTTCTCTTTACAAGATTTAAAAAAATATTTAGAATTGACAGTATATTCAAAGGAAATAGCTTCAGTTATAAAATAAGCAGTTTCTCAGCACTGCCAAACAAATAAGAGGCACAAAGCCTGAATCCTCAAGATCACATACGGCATCCCCAAAAATTTGACTGCATCCTCCAGAATTCTTCAACAATTGCCACTAAACTTGAATTTGCAATATGACAATAAAGGGCTATATTAAATACATTAGATATTTAACTTTAATTCAAACAAATTTAGTTGTTGAGTACCTCCAGCTACTTTTTATGGCTCTGACCACTTAATAATGTGAGACCTCCAACCTCTCAAAGGCAATATGTGATTCTACTAAAGATTGTGCAATCTTGTGCTAATCAAACCACTGGATCCAGAAAGTTAGATTCTACTTGTCATTACATTTTCCTTTGTGTGCTCTTTAAACCCAGTCCCTTTAGAATTTTTCTTATCTGAAATTCCAACAGTCACTTTATTGAATAATCTGGATCTACACATGATAAAACTAAAACTCTATTTCTTCTAAAGATAAGCATTCATATCTTTACAAACATTTATTTACAGTAAGTTTTAAGACAATTACAGTTGATTTAAATTACAGTTTTGCACTTCTAGACTACGTTTGAATCCCAAATCACCAACTTCAGAATAATGAATATAATTAATTTAATTATGATTATGATTTTTTTTTACACACAAGTTTTGCCTCGACTTCACAACTCCCGTCTTCAAATGTGAAGGACCAAAAACAACCCATTTTCATCATACAGCTGAAAAACAGGAAAAGAGCAAAGAAAAAGCCCACAGCCAAGCCTGTTTCTCAATTCTAAGCTATTATGGCTATGGACACTCTTGGGAGGGGTGGGCACAAAGGGACATTAGATCATGATGTCATCGTCAAGCACAGGAAATCAGAAGCCAAAGTGGTTCAAATGAATACAGGTTTATTGCATGCTAATCCTTTACAAGAATCTGAATTACTAATGGTTAATCAAATTGGCGATACATAAGGGTCAACAAAATTCAAGGTGGGCTGGATCATTAGATCACTTGTGGATGTGAAGGGTTTTGAGATTGATGATGCTCTTGACCCCTCTCTCATGCTCAGCATGGTCATTTCCTACATCATTATGTAAATAACACATTTCACAACTAGCTACTTTACTGTTCTATGCCTATTTCACAGGAATCTCCCCATATTGGCAGCTTTCACCTAGGAAAGATAAGGAGGGGAGTTAGACCTTACCCTCTTGTATTTATACAAACGACTCTAGACTAATTCCCCCTTTGAGCTTTTCTTCTGAACAGGATAGTTGCTCTCCACCATATTTTTGATATATTGCAGCTTCCACTGGATCTCTTAAATTCTCTATATTATTCAATATACAAGAATTTTCTTTTATATACATACATAGCTTAGGTCAATCATTTCTGTTGACCTAAGACCACATCTTGCACTTCTCTATTACTTTCACCAATCAAAGATATGAATTCCAATACAACAGCCATTATATACATGTGAAGTCTATAATATGCATCTGAATCATCACAGGAGAAGATAACAGTATGCAGTATTACTATTTAGTTGGAATAATTTTAATGTTCAGAGTTTTAATTGCAAGTAATACTGAAATATTGAGTAACAGATCCTCTGACTTGGAAAAAAAATCAAGTAAATAGGTAAGCAAGGACTTGATAGCAAATAAAGGCTTAAGCATGGGGGAGGGTTGATATTCCAAAGCAATGGTCAGAATCAGCTAAAGCTAACTAAAGCTGCCTTCACAAAAAGCCACACTCAACAAGGCCTTGGACTTTGATTCATGTAAACACCCAGTAGAAAAACTAACTCAGAATTCCCTTCTCCAAGATTACATCTTATCCAATTGTTTTGCCAAATGATCGCTAATAAATAGCTGAGAGAATAATTGTATTATTTAACCAAAGAAAGTGCTATCTGAAAATTGCTTCCAGATGCATAGTAGTTTAGCTGGAAGCAACAGCAGGACAGAAGGGAAAATAGATTGTTTATACCTAGTGTTTGGGGAACTGATGCAACAGGATGTCCTTGTTTTTCATTGACAGGTCGTTCACCTATCAATTATGTTGAACCTTATCACCAGATATGAAGGAAATAGAATTTGGGAAATAACAAGTTTCTAGAGCAAAGGGAGAACAGGACCAGCTTTCAGATTTAAACAAGTGAGAGACTACAAAACCATTTAAAATTTTCTCTATTCTGTCCAACATCATTTTTGGGAGGGTGGGAAACTATGCATTTCATAGTTTTATGTATTATACACATAAAAGGATCTTTTGTTTGATTGCTGGACCAGCTTTCAATTGCAAATGCATTGATTAGAAATTACTGCAAAGAGCTAACCAAGACATAAACAGATTTCGTTGGATTGCTGTTTTTCCTAAACAGTTCCATGCCATTAATACATTGCTGATAAAAAATACCTTTTGGAAATAATGTTATGTTAATGCAATATTCATTCAATATACTAACAGAACAGTTAAAAATCACAAATGGATAAGAATGAGGCAGAAACAAGCCATATTCCTGGAAATTATAAAAGATTATGAAAGAACAGCAGAATATGCAGAGTTTAGTTTGAAACTCAGATTGATGTAAGTAGAGAAAAGAGAAATATACTTGAGTTTGATAAAATCAACTCAACCTGAATACATTTTTACTAATTTCAGATGTGTGGTTTTTATAATAGGACGGGTGGGAAAAGAAAAGTCAGAAAAAAATAAAATAAGCATAGCACTTGGTTCTCAGTTCAATAATGAAAAAGAAGGGCAGACACAGAATAAAAGAGAATGAAACTTCCAACTGTAAGTAAAGATTTTATTTAGCCCAAAGCATTTCAAAAAGCATGTTCCTCATCTGCTCTGCAAAATTAACGCTATCAATAGCAAGGATATTATTCATGAACAATAAAAAAAAGCAAAAGTATTCACCATGTAGCTGTTTTCTGAAAAATGAAGATATCTCCCTCTATGAAGAAGTCAATACCATACTCACTCATGTCATGCATGTGATAAATCATTCAAAACCATAGAATTATAAACACATCCCATCAACCTTTGCTTAAAATTAATACATATATGATTGCTTAGAGCAGATCAAACTAACTCTTCTAATATCATTCCATGAAATTACATACATGAATTGTGGCATGAGGACATGTAGCATTTACTGTAGCTACTTTGTGGAATTATATAACTATAATGTTTCACACAAAAACAATTTGGTCCAGGTTTATCACATACAATAACGCATGGACTGAGGAAAAATAATGTACAAATCAATTAAAACGCATATAAAGCATAGAATATGCTAAAACTGGGTATAAAAATTCTAAGTTCACAATGATTTTTCCATGTTAAAAATTGAATGTGAGGAATATGTAAAAACTGAAAAGACTGCCTTTTATTGGTGTTCAGAAGCAAGTAGTTATTCACTCCTTGGAAACGAATATCTGTATATAGTTTAGAACATGAAGCTAAATATATAAACCAAATAGAAGAAGTATGTTTATTAGACTTCATTTGATACCTTTCCATTCAGAGGCCAGTTGTGGATCTTCTCCTCTAGCATGTACAGAATGTTCTAATTCTCTTTTCACACCTAAGTGGTCCCACTTGGGCTTAAGCCTGTGAATCAACAGCTGTTCTCTACATATGGCTGTCTTATGATGGGAAGTAAGGGATCAATACTGGCTTTCAACATCTATAGCTCCTTATGATATTTAAGCTTTCAGATCAAACACTGATGCAGTGTTATATTTCCATATAAATAAACACTGCATATTTAGCAAAGGGACAGGAATTTGTTACGCGATCTTTAAAGAGCCAATAACATTTC